CTGCAGTCACATGCAAAGCTGACTTTTGTCTCTTAGGATTATGTAGTGACAAACTCAGTGCCACTTTGTGAGACTGCATTGACTACTTAGACTATAGGGTTGTTTCATGCTCTGGAGTAAAAAAAGCATACCGTATTTTCCCTGGATTTAAAAGCTCTGTAGTGCAGGAATATCAGAAGTAAATTGAAGGTTTAGCAAGTCCAGTGCTTACTTGTGACTGAGTGGCTGTGTTGCTGCTTGGTATACATAACTGGTGACAGGATTCCAATTCAGAATATACAGAAGCACTTGCGTGATCCTAGCTAACTGGAAGGCTGGGGCAGGAAGTTCACGATGTGGCGATACCCTGTAAAAATACCTGTCTCTGGCCAGGTGGCAGTGCAATAATAGCACAGCTGGATCTACACGGGAAAGGTCTTGGGACGTCGAACAAGCCAGGTGCATATACATGCACCTGATCCAGGTTGGCCGAGGCAGAGGGTGGATTGCATCGTCACTGCATCTCATGGGGGTTGCTTTCTCCCTCTCTCCAGCCAGCATACCCTCTGGCAAATTAAAATAACAGAATCTTCAGTTTGTGTAAAAGGTTCATTCAAGTATTTGATCATTCAAATTTCAGAAGATACCAAAGGGTGTAAGATGAAGTCTCTCCACAGCTACCCGGCGTTGGCCACACCCTCCCAGTTTGTTGTGCCTTCTCCTTGATAGCCCCGTATGTGATTTGTCATATCTTTTATTGTCCCCTTCAATATACAGTATACAAAGGAGGAAGTTTTCACTTTACTGTGAAATAGTGTGTCATCTTTCTGTTCTTACCAAGAAAATGCTGTGAAAAGAAAAAACTGCTTTGCAATTTTGACATACATAGTTTCCAGTTTGCTCACTGCAGTTCCCAACAGTTACTTACCTTCAGCTATAGTCCACATGTACAGGGTGACCACAGAGTCTGCAAGCACAAGTAAAGTAGGTACCGAATGGGCTGTTGGTATTACATGACTTGGTGTGTTTAGTGACATTAGATACAATCAGCTGTTTGTTCCTTATTAGCAGCACACTAACAGACTTTTCATTCATCTCTGTACACATACCCAAGGTTGCCTCCTCTGGTTTTATGCCTCTGATTTTTTTCCCCCCTTAATTCGATTAAAAACTGCAGTTTCCAGACCTCGTGGCCTTCCCCCATAAGAGTCCTTTAATCTATACATGCTTGCCAACTGAGTATATTTTGTCAGCTCTTGTCAATATGATAATTAAAAAGTAGTGTTTCCTTGTAGCTTTATTTTACATTTGTCTTATGCATAAAACTAATTCTGCATTGTTAAGAGAATACCGTTTGTCTTCTGTTCGTATTTGGCTGTTCTGACAGAATGAGCCCTAGCTTATGCAACTTGATCCCCCCTTCACTGCCTTGTATACATGTAGCAAGCTTAAGAAGAATGTTAACCCACTGGGGCTGGCAGGTGGTGTGATGGTTAAGGTGCTGGACTTCCACATGGCTAACTGTAGTTCGAGTCCCAGATCTGGCGACTTGCTTTTTCATTTTCTCTTTCTCTTACTTTGTCTCTTTGGTCAAATTGAAAAATAATAATAACAAAATTAAATAAATGTTTTTTTAAAAAAGAAAATACTTAATATTGATAAGTAGAGAAGTATTCTCTAAAGTGAAAGCTTAGAAGATTGTCTGACTCTTTTTAGGATAATGTGTACTAAGAGGTTTCCTGAAGAATCCTTTCCTTCCTTCCTATCTGTAATTCGAGGCTGTTACCCATCTAGTCTGAGTTCTGTGACCTTGAAATGCCTATAATTGTGCTTGTTTGAACAGTTTTAGATATTTGCACTGTGTACAGGCCGTTTAAGAATTATGTTTGATTTGGAGACAAATTCATCTTTGGGTGACGTGTGTAAAAAAATGCTCATTTCTGCCCTTTTTTCCCTCCCAAATAGTTGGTGACAAGGGTCCTGCTGATATAAGATTAACTTGTTGACAAGTTGCGTGCTGATATAAAATTAACTTCCATCAAATCTACCACACTAAGAGTGGACCAGTCGATTCTCACAGGTAAATCTTACATTGAATTTCTGAAACCTCCCTCATGCCCTGTGCTGGTAAGAGCTGGCTCTTGCCCCCACTGTCCTTTTTGGTATCCTATCTTAATGCTCTTCCAGGTACCTATTCTTAGTGCTTTATTAGTTACGCTTATGCACATATGTGTTTATAGGCATGACCTGAAAGGCATAACAACCAGCAGTTAACGTAATGGCTACGTTGCTGGACTCCCATGTAGTTGACCATGGTTCGAGTCCTGGACCCGGTGGCTTAAACTCACTGCCGGGCGCATGTGCGTGCGAGCTCAAGATCCCAAGAGGAGAATGGAGGAGAAGGGATTGTGGTGTGGCCATCCCCCCTGGGGTGTGATTTCTTGCTTTTTGTCTGTCTTTCTGGCAAGCGCATACGCCCTATAGCAAAAACCTCTCAAAAAAAAGAAAAAGTGCCAGCAACTGGCGGAGTAGTTAAAGGTGCTGAACTCCCACATGCCCAACCACAGTTCAAATCCCAGACCTGGTGGCTTCATTTATTTAATTTTACTTATTCACTCATTTATTTTAATTCGACTAGAGAGAGACAGAGAGAGAGAGAGGAAAAGTGAGAAAGCAAGCCACCAGGTCCAGGACTTGAACTATGATTGGCCATGTGGAAGTGTCCATTGTCTTAACCACCGTACCTCCTGCAGTCCCCCTATTTATCTTTTTAATAGTGTTGATTTTAAAGTAAAAATCACCATTATGCTTTTACTTTCAGAAAGAAGTTATAATTCCTTCATTAACAGTTAATACTTTTTTTTTTTTTAAAGAGAGAATTTTGCTATAGAGAGCATGTATTCACTGGAGAGACAAAGAGAGACACAAAGCAAGAAATCACTCCCGGGGGAGGGGGGTCGAGTTGACACGTTTTTTTCTGTTTTGTTTTGTTTTGTTGAGAGGTTTTTGCTATATAGGGCACGTACACTCGCCAGACAGACAGAGAGAGACATAGAGACAGAAAGCGAGAAATCACCCCCCAGGTGGGATGGTCACACCGCGATCCCTTCTCCTCTCGGGATCTTGGGCACGCATGCACACGCGCCCAGCGTGAGTTTTAAGCCACCGGGTCCGAGACTCGAACCGTGGTCGACTATGTGGGAGTCCAGCGACATAGCCATTACGCTAACCGCTGGTCCCTGTATACAATTCTTAATGGTATGCCTACAGAAATAATTGTCACTTTTAAATTCTTCATAGAGGTTCTTTAATGAAGGCCTATTTCACTTGGATGAGATTAAAACTGATAGTAATATTTGTTAAGTATTGTTAAAGTTGGGAATGAATTTAATAAGACATTTTACCAGCAAGTAGCATAATGGTTAGGTCACTGGGCTCCTACCTAATCAGCCATGGTTCAAGTCCCAAACCTGGCAGCTTTAAAATTCACACCAGGCACATGTGCATGTGTGCCCAAGACTCAAGAGGAGAAGGGATTGTGGTGTGTCCATCCCCGGGGGGGTAGTTTCTCAGTTTCTGTCTCTGTCTTTTTCTGGACATACACCCTTTTACCCCCCTTATGTGAAAATTTTTTTTTTTTTTTTTTTTTTTTTTTTTTTTTAAAAAAAGGTTCTAAAGACTAACTGTATATCATGATATTTTTAGTGCATTTGCTATCAGCTCTTTTGGGTTTTTGTTTTGTTTTGTTTTGTTTTTGAGAAATTTTTGCTATGAGGCGCATGTGCTCACCAGATAGAAAGCAAGAAATCAACCCCCATGGGGGTTGGCCACACATACACATGTGCCCGGCGTGAGTTTGAAGCCCCTGGGTCCTGGACTTGAACTGTGGTCAGCTGTGTGGGGAGTCCAGTGATGTAACTGCTAAAACATCTGCTGGCTCCTGCTAACTGTCCTTTTTTGTTGATAATAAACTATTTATTAATTTAATATTTATTATTAATTTAATAAATTGTTTTTATAATCCCATTTTAAAATTATTGTTTTTTGTGTGTGTAAAACTCAAATGTATACAAATATATTTATAAGTATTAGAGTATGTAATGATAACAAATTAATTTGAATAATTATCCCAGAAAAAAGGTAATTGACTAGAATTTTACTTCACAATTGAGCACCTTTATTTTGAAATTGTATTGATTTGGGGGGGGGACTCCAGGGCATATGGGATCAGGGGTGTGGGGGGAAGGTGTTAGAAAGTACCCTCCAAGGGGTATGCCTTGCCACAATCTTCATTCTCTCACGATTTTGTGCTGGCATGCACACATACGTACCTCATTTTATGTTTTGTTTTATTTATTTATTTATTTGAGAAGTTTTCACTATAGGGTGCGTGCGCTCGCCAGACAGACTGAGAGAGACGTAGAGACAGAAAGCGAGAAATCACTCCCCAGAGGGGATGGTCACGCTGCAATCCCTTCTCCTCCATTCTCCTCTCGGGATCTTGGGCACACACGCACACGCGCCCGGCATGAGTTGTAAGCCACTAGGTCCGGGGCATGAACCGTGGTCGACTATGTGGGAGTCCAGCAACATAGCCATTACGCTAACTGCTGGTTCCCTGTTTTTTTAAGCAGGTGAATCTGGGATTCAGACCCCATAGTTGACCATGTAGGATCTAATCAGCTTAACTATGGCTGGCCCAAAATGGCAGTGAAGGGTTTTTTTTTGGGGGGGGGGGGTTGTTTTTGTTTTTGTTTGTTTGTTTGTTTTTCGAGAGAGAGATTTTTGCTATGCACTCACCTAAGAGACTGAGACAGGAAATGAGAACTCACTCCCCAGAGGGAATGACCACATTACAATCCCTTCTCCATTCTCTTGGGATCTTGGACGCACATGCACCATGGATTTCAAGCCACCAGGTCCAGAACTTGAACTGTGGTCGGCCATGTGCAAGTCCAGTGCTTTAGCTACTAGGCCACCTCCTGGCCCCCGTATTGAATTTTAATACTGACATTCTTTGCTCCAAATTAATTTCTATTACCAAATATTCCTGGATTACCTCTGAATGAATGGACCCTTTGGCCCTTCTCAACTTGACAATTTTTCACAAGGGTTCATGGGTTGGCATGGATGAGGGTCCCCAGGTTCTAGGTGAGGAACTTACCTCCTGACACTGCCGTCTTCTGCCCAGGTGAATCTGTTTCTGTAATCAAGCACACTGACCCTGTCCCAGACCCACGGGCTGTCAACCAAGATAAGAAAAACATGCTCTTTTCTGTAAGTACCTTTCTCAAATATATTTTTATTTGGAGACATTTTCAAAGTTACAATGGTTCACAGATATATTTTTCACTGCGTACCTTCAGTGAGTAGATTTTACAAAGTGCTAGCTGTTACTCAAGATAATCACACTCTTCATGGTTAGTCTCAGCTATCAGAAAACGTCAATGATATGTAAGGATAGAATACCTGACTGAGATGTTCTTTATTTTAATTAGCACGTTTTTGAGAATTTTACCCATCCCCACCCCCCAAGAAGTCAGGTCAAATATCTTTCAACTCTTGTCTGTAAACATAATTGAAAAGTAGATTTGTTTGGAAAAGACTTAGCCTATAAAGGTTGTTTTCAAGATGATATGGTTGATAGCTGCTGTTGGTATATAGTTTATAGTAAAAGGGTGTGTGTTTAGAGAGGAAGCAAACGTGGCAGACCGTTAATAATGTTGTATGAGTTTATGTTATTGTACTTCTTTGTTTAAAAAATTCTTTTTAAATAATTATTTACTCATTTATTTTTTAATTTCACCAGAGAGAGCAAGAAAGGGAAAGAAAGTGAGAGGCAAACCTCCAGGTCTAAAGCTCAAACCACGGTCAGCCATGTGGGAGTCTAGCACTTTAAACACCATGCCACCTGCTGACCCTTAAACATTTTTTTAATAGTTGTGAAATGCATGGACTTTGTTGTTTGGAGTTTTGTGGGTTAGTATGAGAGCTTAACCATCCATAGTAAGTAAAGTAATATGGAGTTACCATGAGAATAATGAAACTATATCATTCTAGCAATAAGAATTAAATTAAGGTAGGGGGAGAGAGCACTCACGCTTGATTTCATTGATTTTGAGTCCTGGTACCTGAGATGTTCTCAAGACAGCCCATGTACAGCCCATGTAGCTGCCTTTCTCAGATCTGATGAGAATAGCTGGGAGGTTGAGCTGTTGGAGCCAGAGGTGGAGAGTGCTTAGGGCTGAGAGCTAAATGGAGAAGTTGGGATACAGAGAAGTCAGATCACTGCTACGGGCAAAGCTAGTCTTCAAGCCAGGCCTTGTGTTGTGGGTCGAGATCCAGATGGCTCAGTGTGGAGCCACTCTGAGATAAAAGATGTTCCTCACTGCCTGCATGCCCCACTCTTGCTCTTCGTCAGAACTGTATTGCTAGTTGCCTAAACTGTAGCCACTGGAAGGAAGGCCCAGTAGAACGTGGTACCCTAGCTACAGTCCAGTGTCCTGGTTGCTGTTCAGAACTTAGGTTGGGTTTGGTGGTGATCTTGTGACAAGTTTTTTGTTTGTTTGTTTTTAAGGGTTTTTTTTTTTTTAGCTTTATTATTTACATATGTATGTATGTATGTATTTTAATTTGATGAGAGCGGGATATAGAGAAAGCAAGCTGCCAGGTCCAGGACTCAAACGCAGTTGGCCATGTGGGAATCCAGCGCCCCTAGTCACCACGCCACTTGCCGGCCCCGTGACCAGTTCTTTACTACCTAGGGTACAAACATTGCTGCTGGAAAAGCCATGGGAGTGGTGGTGGCAACTGGAGTTAACACAGAAATCGGCAAGATCCGGGATGAAATGGTCGCAACGGAACAAGAGAGAACACCCCTTCAGCAGAAGCTAGATGAGTTCGGGGAACAGCTCTCCAAAGTCATCTCCCTGATTTGTATCGCAGTCTGGATCATAAACATTGGGCACTTCAATGACCCAGTCCATGGGGGCTCCTGGATCAGAGGTGCTATTTACTACTTCAAAATCGCAGTGGCCCTGGCTGTCGCAGCCATTCCTGAAGGTCTGCCCGCTGTCATCACTACCTGCCTAGCTCTCGGAACTCGTAGGATGGCAAAGAAAAATGCCATTGTTCGAAGCCTCCCTTCTGTGGAAACCCTCGGTTGTACTTCTGTTATCTGCTCTGACAAGACCGGTACACTTACGACAAACCAGATGTCAGTCTGCAGGGTAAGAGGAGTGGCTTCAGAACCCTTCCTATAGGATTCCTCCCTTCATCCTAACAGTATACCCCTATGCCATCAAAACCTTTGTAATTCAGTGCCTTTCTGTGGTTTCTGTGTGTATGAGCTCATTTCTGATACTTTGCAGGAATTAACCATTTAATTCTTAGACTACTTCATGAAATGCATGGTATCTACAAAGCTGTTATACTTGGACTAGGGGGATAATTAGAGGCATGCTATACACGTTTCATGTCACTATACTCCATGTATTTCTCTGGTCCTCTGTGTCCAGGCACAGTGTCTGTGTTAAGCTCCAGAGGAAACAACTGGTTAACCTCCCCACCTGTCATCGTAATTGGTACTTCTATAACAGTCAGTGAAGCATGCTTCTATTTCTTTTTTGTTTGTTTGTTTGTTTGTTGGAGAGGCTTTCATTATAGGGCACGGGCACTCGCCAGAAAGACAAAGAGAGACAGAGAGATAGAAAGCGAGAAATCACCCCCCCCCCCCGGGGGGGGGGCCACGCCCCAATCCCTTCTCCTCCATTCTCCTCTCGGGATCTTGGGCACGC